ATCAAATGATTTATAATATAGTATAGATGTGGTCATCACTTATTATCAACTTTATTTTATTGTCTATTTTAAAGTAATTTCAATTTGGTTCAATGTGGTTGACAAATTGTTTCAATTTTAGTTACTCTAACTAATTTTTGTTTAAAAAAAAGTTCATTAGCCAAGGGGTTTTTGGTTTTTTTAATATATTTTTAATATATATATATATATATATATATATATATATATTCTAAAGTTATATTATATTATAACATTTGACAAAAACTCTTAAAAACCATTTTTTTATGCATGAATTGTTGTTTATTGATGCATATTACTTAAAATTCAAGATTACAAGTAAATTATGCATAATTAAAACTTATTAAAACTATATGTTTGAATTCGTGTAACTAATTGCGGATAAATATAATCAAATCAATGATAAAATTCTCAGTTTAAATACATTTAAAATATAATTAGGATAATTATTGAATTCAAACAGAATACTTAATTATTATTTTTATAAAAAAATATATTATTAAACTTAAATTTAGTTACTTCGTTACGATAAATTAAATTATAATAAAAATTTTGAATTAAAAAAATACACAAATAAGAACTTTAAATAGTTAATTTGATACTAATATTAATATATTTTTTTGCAAATTTTATAATATCTTGAAATTTATATTTTATTCAAAAATAAAAACATTATCTTTTTTTTTAAAACAACATTAAAAACGTATTATATCGACATAGATATTAAATAAAATGAAACATTGAAATCGAACTGTGTCTCGATACATTACACAAGTACCCTTCTAGTATTAATAAAGCTCAAACTTTCAATGAGAAATTTAGGGCCATATGGTTAATTTTTTTATTTAAATTTCATGTAAGGATTTGAAACATTTTATTTATAAAAAATTATAAAAATAATTAAATTTCTTTTATTAACTAATTAATACAACATATATTTTTAAAATATTATTAAACAAATCTATTGAAATACCAACTACATCAACGAGTTTTCTAAATTTGGAGTTTCATCGAGTTTTAATTATGGACCTTTCTCTAAATCAAACTCGAAATTGGAATATAATTCAACTCTAAATTTCATCAAATCCTGCAAATCAAACTGGGTTTTTCCCGTATATAATTTATCCAAGATAATAGTATTAAAATGTAGCATTGATTGCTCTTAATACAACATAATTTCAATTGCTTATGATTTATAATAATTTGAATCAACAGAATTTGATATTAAAGATGTATACATCTGAAATATTCTCATTCAATTTATGTTAAACCATGTGTTGTGATGGTGCATTTGTGTATGTATATAGACTTTTTTTTTCTATTAACCTGGATATCCAACTCGCTATGCGAGTCGACTAATCCCAAAGCAACCACCTGCTTTGTAGATAGTCTGGAGTCATCACATTTGAACCTCCGTGGCCACAAGAGAATTTTTATTCTTTTTTGGATTGAACCTGAGACCTCCTGGTACTTTTGACCTTTAAAGCTAAGCTCAAACCAATTAGACACCACCCTTGTAAAAGATTTATATAAAAAAATATTGATGAAAGTATTTTAATTTGTTAATCAGCAACCATTCCAAAATATTGATGAAATCTATTATAGTTGATAAACTTGTCGCAGTTTTATATGATTAAAAGATATTATATGTATATTTAATAATCCAATTTTTTTATTAAACAATAAGTTAATCACAAGATTGTATTTTAAAATATTACTATTTTTCTTTAGAGAGAATTACACCGGTGTTTTGTTCAAATTTTGAATTTATTAAATTATTTATGTTGGTGGTTCCTAATTTTTTATTTTCATAACATTCATGGTTCCTCTACTTAACAATGTTAGTTAGCAACCATTATGATGGATTTATTAGTCTTTGAACGAATTATAGAGACCAAAAACTCAATCTACTCTCAAATATAATGTAATTCATGTTTTTTATTTTTTATTAAAAAATAATTTATATATCCAATCAGAAATCAAATATCTTAAATAAGGTACATATTAAATAAAAATCTTTATATTTATTTAAAACTATAAAATTCATAGAAAAAGATTAGCATTAAAAAAATATCAAGTTAGAATAAAAGAAATCGAGATAAATTCACATATATTTTGAGTTAAGAATTGAAATATGCGATCAAAATATTGATAATTAAATTTGGATAAATTCACTATTTTGACTATATATTAATAATTTCATATTTCAAATTAATTCTCAATATTTTGCTCACATATTTTTTGACATATTTTTAGTTTCCAACTAAAAAAATATGTGGATTTATCTCGATTTCTTTTGTTTTTCTAAACTTAGATTTTTCAACGCTAATTTTTTTTGTGAATTTTATAATTTTTAAATAAATATAAAGATTTTTATTTAAGATATTTGAATTTATGATCGGATATATACAAATATTTTCTAATAAAAAATTAAAAAAACGTGAATTATATCATATTTTAGGGCAGATTACATTTTTGGCCTCTATAGTTTGTTCAAAGATCGGTGAGTCCATCATAATGGTTGCTAACTGACATTATTAAGTGGAGGAACGATAATTGTTATGAAAATGAAAGATTATGGACCATCAGTGTAAGTAATTTGTTTTAGAGACCAAATCTAACATTGAGTAAAGTACAAGGACCACCAATGTAATTCACTCTTTTTATTTATTACAAATCCAACATTGATTTTATTTTGCTATACGTTTTAGATAATTATAGTTTGCATAATCCAAGGTATTTAATTATACAATTTAATATGTTTGTTTATACATGCATGCCGTATATCATATAAAATAATATATAAATGCTTTCATATTACAATAAGAAAGACATGATTTTCAGTTAGAATAAGAGTTAAGGTGAGAAACGTAAGAAATGATCATCACTCTTTGACGCACATTAGAATGAGATGCACCAAATCAATTTATGTATCAAGCACGATTCATGGATAAGTTTGAGATTAATGGTGATCAAAGATCGTGATCGTTTTTTTTCCTTCTCACCTTAACTCTCATTCTCACACGATTATTCGCCTACACACAAACACACATAGAAATATATATATAGATGATCAAAGAAGAACATGGTTAACATAAATAAAATATGAAAACATTCAAATCATATTTAATTTATAGTAAAATCATATATCATCATCAAACATGGTCAATACAAAAGTGAGCATGCAACTTGGGTTGTAACTTTAAGTCGTGAAAATCACATATGATTTTACAGATGATTTTAATATAGAATCATATTTAATTTGGACGTTCTCTTATCTGATCATTGTTCTTGTTTGAGTATGTATATATATATATATATATATATATATATAGTTCGTTTCAAATACAACCCATCGCATTTGTACAACCAATGCAACCCAATAAATTGAGATATTTATAGAAATGATGAGAATTCATTTATTATGATTTAAATATTTATGGAAGATGAATATGGTTCATTAATTGTGATTAATACTTTATACTAGAAAACAATCAAAACTTCTATGAAATCACATATTAATAAAATGAAATGAACGGTTGAGATTGGGTTGTATTGATTGCACAAATGTCAAGTGTTGTATAATAACCAACCTCTATCTCTCTCTCTCTCTGTATATATA